GGTAAGGAGCCGGGGCCAAGCAGAAAGAGCGTAGGAGCCGATTCCGAGGGAAGGAAGACCTGGGTGACAGCGTTGGAGTAACGTCGAGGGACACCCGAACGGGAGAGCGGAGCGACGGCAGCCGAAACTGAAGCAGTCACCGACAACGAAGAAGCCAGGTTTGCGAGCCGCGCACTATACGAGCGAACGAAGGTAACATAATTTTGCAAAGGCATAGGCACGAATGTTAGTGCAGCAATAGAAAGGCTACAATTGTAAATTTGTATATTCACGTAGATTGTCGTGAGAACTAGCAATAGTCACGGCAACAATAACTGAAGGAGAACCTTCTACACCGGAAATACAGTTCGTTCATGTGTTATATGTTCCGAGAAAAGAAGTGCAAATTTTGGTTTCTCACATCTCTGTGATCTTGACGAGGAAATTAATTGTGAATAGTTGTAGTTAGATAAGTCATTCAATAATTTGTTCCTATTATTAAAAATCCAATATTTTGCGTAGAAATAAGGAATTTAATTTGTTGTATTCATCAGTCAAGGGATTTAATATTTTATTATTTTTGAACGGTACTGGTCAAGCAATAGTTACCGTGCACGGGCATTTTGTAAAAAGTCCTGGATTAGGAACGAATATTCGTGTCAAAGTGAACAAACGATGTTAATATTCAAAGTGTGTGAAGAGTAATTTTATTTTTGTGTTACATATTTGTATGTTATTTTATAACAGGTTTTGTGCATTTCGTTCAGTGCTGTAATATGTGGTCATATTCTGGAGAGAAAATTCGTACTGTTTTACCCGATTTTGTATCTGGGTGTAAATCTTTCTCATTGGCTGAAGTCGGATATGCGATTCGCAAGAGACCCCCCCCCCGCCCGGTTCATGGTTCACGATTTCCCACTCACAAATGAAACACGGGAATTGTATATCCGTCTTGTTGACAAAGAAGCACGAATATGAATTTGAAATCACCGCAAATGGCCCAACCGTGGTCGGCAGAGTTTATTTTGTTTTATTGTATTGATAGAGATAACGACGGGAAAGGAGGGACGGGGACAGAAGCTTATTGTAGGTCTCAGCACGGTAGATGGAAAGGTAGGGAGGCAAGAAATTCAAAGCCGACAAAAATTGTGGGAAATGTTCGTAAAAATCAGACAAAAGGTTGATTTTTCAAGAAAATGTGACATGTGAGAAATGTTTCACTACTTTTTTTTTTTTTAAATTAGCACTAAAATATCCAGCTATGAATTCCCTTTTATTTTTGCTTTCTCGTATACATAAGTATGTACGGAGTAATATACGTGTAAAGTATTTCAGTGTCCCAAGACAGTCGAGGCGGCCGCCCTGCTGGCGCCGGCTATTCGTCATCTACTCCTGAGGGTGACTCGAAAAAGTGTCGGCAGCTTCGGAACAAGTCAGGGCGCTTTGAGCAAGGGCCGTCCGATAACAGGTCGTAGGTCGGTCCACCCTGCGCTCGTTGCGATGAGTAGGCCGCGCCCAGCGGTCGTATGCAGGGCGAGCGCCCAAGCGTCAAGGGTCAACCGACAACAGTGTCAGTCAACGGCTGCGCCCAGGCGTGTAGGTCACGTGACAGTCAATGAGGCGCCGCCCGATAAATGTGTGGTACGCGAAGGCTCGGGGCTTACTCGCCTACCAGCTGAGGAGGAGGACTGGTGCACTCTTGGGGACTGCACTGAGGTCATTTGGAGGACTTAAACATTTTCCTTCATTAAAGAGCTTTTGATAGTGTAACTCGTCGAGTTTTTGTCCAAGTAGGCAAACTCCAGAGCACCCACATCTCACGGCAATTCTCGCGTCTCAGCTGTCCGAGGCGGTTCGGGACACGACATACTTAGTATTGGGAAAGTTATGCAATGCTGCGGAAAATCGATATCAATATCGTGATTTCATCGGAATTACACGTTTTGGGGTCCCCTGATGCCGAAAAAGTGTTATTTTTAAAAACGTCCGTCTGTCCGTAATGGCCGCCGCGTGGTGAGTCGTGTGTTGATCATTCTCTGTCTTTCGCGTTAGCTCTTTGTGTTTGGGAGTGCGTAACACAGCAAGTGTGTGCCGGATCGTAGGCGTATGTAAACTGTAGCTTGTGCATGAAGAACCTGGCAATGTACTTGGAGCTAAAGGTGTTTTGTGAGTATTTTCTCGTGTGTTGTGAGCTCCGATGGGGCGTTGCTTTGCAGTGGGATACTGGCCCTCCCAAAGTCAGTCAGATTTTCAGGTTTTACTCTGAATTTTCGAAAATTTCAAAAATTTTCGGGCGTCTTCCTACGACTACAAAATTGAAAATACATATTTTTACTTCAAATCAAATGTGTTCTCCATAGTGAATTCTTTCATTATCGTTATGTCATTTAAAAAAAGAGAGCTTTCCGCGGAATATTGCGAGCAATATGTGCAATTAAAAAAATAGAAAAAACAATACTTTTTCAAAAACTGTTCGAAATCTTTACATTACTTTTGGTAGGGATTTTCATTAATGCACTCTATATGATGACATAATACCATATTGCTCTATTCTTTTGTTTTTTTCAAAAATTACAAAAAAATAATTTTCCTGATTCATCTCTCACGTCGTTAATTTTTACATAAGTGGTAATTTCTTTACATTAATGTAGTTATGTAATGTGCTTTAAATAATATGCGATAAAGGTTCCCAAACACTCAACGGTTTTCCGTGAAAATGAGCTCAAAATTCCATATTTTCAGAAACGCTCAAATACCATTTTCACAAAAACGGCTCCAAATTTTGTGTTCAAACTTTTCCAAAAGATAGTACCAAGTACTGTACTCTTTAAGATGACATAGAAATAATTATGCTGTATTTTTTAAAAAAATGACACAAATGTAATTTATTTGAAAGATCTCTCACGCCTTTAATATGCACATTTCCAGTAATTTGTTAACACTATTGCATTTGTGAGTGTAAGTGCTTGAAATGACGTCAGATGAAGTTTTTCGAAAACTCAATAGTTTTCTGTGAAAATGGAAATTTCGAATTTATAGTAGCATTTATAGCATAAATACCATTTTCAGCACATTAACTTAAATACGATTTTCTTAAAAAACGGCTCCAAATTTTTCAATGAAAATTACCATTTGGGACGAGGTTTTACTGTTCTTTAATAGTTTTAAAGAAATAATTCGATTCTACTATTAGGATTAAAAATTGAGAAAATTCAAAAAGATGTACTTTAAGCGGTGATAGATGACAGCTGGCAAGAGGATGTTGCAAGCCTGAGTAGCTAGCAGGCACCAAAGGCAATAGAAAACTAATACAGGGAAGTCTGTGCAATTCTGTAGCACTACTAGTTTTCATCGTAAGCGTGTATTATTAATTATACCGGAAACAGAGAGCTAAAAGGGGTGTCGCAAACGGATCGTGCAAATCAATGTTTTCTTACGAAATAAATTCTTTATTATAAAAGTGTCTGCTTCTCAAGTAGTGTGAAAGTGCTCTTCTTAGGCTCTTGCCGACCGCGCACTCACTTTTCGATTTAATTTAAATCTACGAGAAGTTGATCAAACGTTGGAAAAACTTGCAAATAGAGTTCTGAAAACAATTACCGGGTCAGTGAATGATTGAACTTTGACTCTCCCGTGAATCTAGGGCACCTGGAAAGGCAAGTTTAAGCAACGGCTGACGTTGATTGCCGAACTATGGAGCTATGTCAGCATTTCAATGGCCAAGTCGAGGTACATCTGTTCACGTTGGTCAAATATACCGCCGAGCAAACAGTTTGTTTTCTTGACTTCTACCTCCATCTGAGAATTGTTACTCCGCCTTGCGTTTTCGTGTATTTTCTTTGGAACGATCTGCATCTCTTCCCTTTTAGATTTTACGAGTAGCTTACTTGCCTCTGAACCCCAGAGTGCGGGTTCTAGCCTGGCTGAGGTGCGTGGATTTTCGAAGGAAACTCATAGTGGCCAAGTGATGGCATGTAAAAGAACCGGGTAAGTGGCCGGTTAAAATTAAAGCCGGCAATTTTCCGTTCTAACGAGATCTCATCACGTATTCCTAATCAATGTTCAGATAGGGTAAACTAATAAACGCGTGAGGTGGATATTGTATCACTCCCAGGTATTTCAGGGGATGCCCACCGGGCGCACCTTCCAAAAAAATCAAAATAAAAAAAAAATCCGCAGACCTGCGCTTGGGGTAGGCTTTAAAGAAACTTTGTGTCCAAAATACAGATGCGAAACTCCGGTCAATATTCGCCTCTCCGCAAATATCACCATGTATTAAATATCTATCTCCTTTACCTTCTTAGGCACACTTCAAGCAGACGATTAGATTTTACATGTTACCTGAAAGTAGGCCTGACCCGAATAGATGCAAAATTATCCAACTCGACTCAACGTGACCAACAAATTGGTTTAACGCCCAACAAACGCGACAGGACCCAAACTGATCCAATACAATCGAACCGTATAGAATCTGATGATGACTGAATCTGAATGAGAGCCGATACAAGCAAACTGAATCCGACCCAACCCAATCCAACTCAACCTTACCTCGACTAAACTTGTCCCAATCCAACCCAACCCAAACCGATTGGACCAAACCCGACCCAACCCGCTCCAATCCGATCCAACCGTACCTAACCCCACCTGACCCAAGCCGAGTCACCGGATCCGATTTGCCGCGCGCGCGGGCGCTCACCTGTCGTGCATGCGCTTGAGCTCCTTGCGCTGGCGGTGGTGCGCCTCCTCCTGCAGGCGCAGCAGCAGGGCCTCCTGCGCCGCCAGCTGCCGCTTCACCAGCTCCCACTCGGCGCGCACGTGGCGCGCGCGGAGCTCCGACCACGCCCCCGCCTGCGCGCGCACCAGCGGCCGGATCTCCGAGTCCGCCACCAGCGACACCGGGCTGCCACACACCCGACGCGCCAACCAACATAGCCACGCGCGACTTTTAAATTTAAACATCGATCTTAATAATACATCATCAATGATTTGAAACTGCTTAAAGGAACCTCTAATATTTCTGTTCGCACGTGGCGGAGGGAATTAATTTGAGAATTCCCTTTTTGCAGTAACATTGTTTTACTACCAGGAGTCGTTGGAATAGAATATCGAAAGAAATAATATTAGCAAACTTGTATTATCAGATTAAATAATATACAGATAGCGGGTTTTTAGTTATCCACAAAAGAGCAAATAACTAATTTTCGTTATTGATCACTTGAGCCTTAGAGGTTCAATTTAATGAAATCCGAAAATTATTAGTTTTTTGTTGTTATGGTACATTTTTTCAAAAATAAAATATTGAGTTGAAAACATCGAGGTTGAAAAACTTCGGTTTGAAGATTGTCATGTTAAAAAATCAATGTTTGGAAATAATCGTTAATGTTTTCAAAATATCAACATCGATTTCACCACCCCAATACCGTTGCCCGAGAACACTGGAGTACAGGGGGAGGGCAGGAGAGACAAGAACACCCCTGAAAATGTTGAAAGGAGCCCGAAGTCTATTTTCCAAAAACTAGAAACAATAGGGAAATTGTTCATTGTGTGTCTCTAGTGTAACTGGCAAATTCAAGACATACACTCAGAGAAACTTTCGAATAGGTTGGCCAATTTAGATTCGATCTCCCCCTGCAAACCGCTAAAAGTAAATCAAAAGATCCAAATTGGACAAAAAGCAGCTAAAATGTCGAAAATTGTTAATAATTACCCCCAAAATGGGAACTAAGAAGAAAGCATTGATGCATCGATACTAAACTGAAGCATGCATTGTATATATTCAATTTCTAGTGTATGCAATAAGACTCAAATTGTATTCATTCATTAGTGCAGACGTTCATTAATTAACTCATGCATTCATTACTCACACCGTTCTCTGCCAGGAAGAAAATATCCTATAATGCTTTCTTTCATTCCGTTCTTAATTCATCCTTGGTATTATTTCCTTCTTGGGAAAGGTAATCACTCGACAAAAGTTGATTCATTCACCCATTTACTCATTGTCACATTCATTCCATTGTTAATTCATCCTCAGTGTTATTTTCATTGTTGAGACCGGTAGCAGCCCGTGATAAAACATATATAAATTGCTCGTTGAGGAAAATGACTCACTCCTTGCACGCAGAAATCTGCTAGGACTTCTTTTATTCATATCATTCGTTCGATCTTTCATTCGCTTCTGTCTTAATTTATTCTCAGTATTATTTCTTCGTTGAAAACATGTTCTCGCGAAGACTCCATTCATTCGCTCATTCATTCAATCGTTCGTTAATTCACCTTTGACATTATTTCATTCATGAGAACAGTCACCGTCCGTCAAATCTCCATTCATTCACCTATTAATTCATTCATTCATTCGCTTATCATGTATGTGCTCGTTGTGGAGAACGACTCACTCCTTCCACGCAATCTGCTAGGACTTCTTTCACTCATATCACTCATTCATTTATTCGCTCCTCTATTCATTCATCCTTAGTATTATTCCTTCGTTGAAAACATCTACCCGTGATGACTCAATTCGCTCGTTAATTCATCTTTGATATTATTCCTGTCATCAGAACAGTAACCATCCGTCAAAAGTCCATTGATTTACCCATTAACTAATTCATTCTAGAACTCATTCGCTTAATATTTGCTGTTTGTGGAGAGCGACTCACTCCTTGCGCGCCGCCATCTTCTCGATCTCCTCGCTCTGGCGCCGGCCCTCGCGCAGCAGCTGCTTGTGGTGGCGCGCGCGCAGCGACCGCACCTCTGTGCAGTGGCGCTGCGCCAGGCGGCGGAAGGCCGGCAGCGCGCGCAGCGGCGCCATCTCCACCGACACGAACGGCCACGGCTCCTCGCCTGCGCACGCGCACGCACACGCGTCAGCCTTTGATACATACAGCACATGCGGAGGCGCTGTACACTCTTAGACTGTGTTTGGCTCAGAGCCAACGTTGCCACTGACTGTAGCGGCTATAACGTGGACGATTGATTGATTGTTAATGATTCCAGGCGCGTCAACGGCTAAGGTCATTGGTCCCGTAAGTGTGGTGCATGTTTTCCCTCCAGAGGTTGCGGTGATCGTCCCCCGCATGATGGTGAGGCCCGGCGCCGACTTGTCGACTAGCGAGCTTTCCCTCAACCAGGTATCTCCGGCCAGCCCAGGTCTAAGCTCCCAACCAGTCTCCCGGCATGTGTGATAGTGCGTGTTAGTGTAAGTTCGTATGAGGGGTGAGGTTAGGACAAGGAAGAGGAAGGAAAGATCGCGCGCGGTCCGTGGCCCGTTTATTGGGGTTCTGCTCCAGCATTCGCCTGGTGCTGGTCGGAGAAACTACGGAAAACTACCAATGTCAGTGCAGTGTCTCTGACCGGAAGACTCTAGCGTTCGAGTCCCGACGGACGCAGAATTTTTGATGTTAGCTTTGTCAGCTAGGTCGAATTCAAATGTTGTCTGAAGGAGATTTCTAATGACAGGCTGCTCTGATCGGTATTTTACCGTGGCTTCTCTGATTAACACCAGGCGAACGCTGGAGTAGTACCATAATAAACGGGACACGGGGCGCGCGCGATCTTTCCCTCCTCTTCTTTGTTCTATCTTCAACTCTTACTTACACACACACACACACACACACACACATGCACTACACTACTGCACATTTCGGGAAACCAGTCGGAAGCTTAGAGCTTGCCCCTTTCCAAGGCGGTGCCACGCAGGTGGGAGATGCCTCGTTGCGAAATATCCTCGCAAGACAACGAAGATCGGCGCCGAACTTCTCCTTAGTGCTGCACTCCATGAAGAGTGGGCTGCCATTCATCAAAAAACTTTCCAGCACCTGATTGAAAGTATGCGGGAGTGGAGGCTGTCATCAAGGCTAAGGATGGGCCAACGCCCTATTGAATTTCAGCATTACCTATGGAGGGCGCCACGAACTGGCAAGTCATTTTCAGCCACGTGTTCGGATACTTTTGATCTTATAATGTATGTATTCTATTTAGCCGAACAGCCACTTCCGATTTAACTCGAACCCCCTGTCAGACACGCTACAGAGACTTCGGTAATGGTGACACTGAGCCATTTCAGCCGGTCGACCGGGCGGTCTGATCTCTCCTCGCCATCCCCAGAGCACCCTGTAAGTGCGTTTTGCGGCCTCACCTTTCTTGAGTCTCGCGTCACCCGCCTCCGCCTCCGCGCCCTCGCCGCCGCCCGCCGCTGCCGCCTCCCGCGCCAGGCGGTGGCCGCGAGGGTCCAGCAGCGCCGCCGTCAGGTCTGCCAACACACGATTCACACACACGTACAAGATCGTTCGTGGAGACACGACATTCCAAATTATGTCTACCACAGAGTACTATACGAGAAAGAACATTAATTATTGAATCTACCAAAGATTATGGCCACAGCGTAGATTGTAACAAGGACAATTCGGTTGCCTAGAAAAGACGAGTATTATAGAAAGGTAGATAGAGAAAACTTGACAGAGCTCACACGTTCGATATCACGCTGTATATTTAACGTAACTTTTACGAAACTTGTTAACTTATGTTATTCTATTGATTATTCATTAATACAAATTATGAACAACATTATTTTCTTTGTGATACATGGGCAACTGAAAAATAATAAACGGTAGGCCGCACATCGTTCAATTTAATAAAAAATCTCTGATTGGTTGTAGTAAAGTAAGAGCGTACGGTGTGAGTACCCTTCCTTTGGAACCCCGAAGCGCTCTTTGCCTTTCATCCTTAGGGACTCATATGTTGGCAAAAAGTGGTTATTTGTGTAGTTAGATAGGAAGTAGATAGATATACAGGCTCACAAGACAGATAGAAAAATGTAATACCACTCTCTTTTCGGTCAGCGCTACCTTTCGGTTTTGCTTCTCCTTCCCAGCTGCCATCTATCGGCGCCTAGGGACATACCAGGGTCTCCTACTGTCACCGTTTTTCACCCAACTCTTAGCAGTGGGGACCCTCCTGTACGTCACCCCGAGGTATCCCTTAGGTTCACTTCGGTTCTGAGCTACAATAATTATGTCCGAGGTTCCTTAATTTTTGAAGTGCATAGAAATAGTATCAAATTATAATATAGTATAGTGCCTGAAGGATAGTATGTTGTAGAATAGTATGTATGATAGTATCGAAATTTAGCATGTTATAGTATAGTACAGCACAATATTGTAGAGTATCTATAGTACCGAATAGTATAGGATAGTATAATATAGTATAGTGTCGTGCAGAATCGTGTAGCATAGTATCGTATAGTACAGTGCAGTGGCACTGTGGTAGAGGGAGGGCGAGTAAATGTTCCGGCGCTACCTTCGTATCCGGCGGGCACGTAGATCTTGATCTCGATGTAGCAGAAGAGCTGCGCCAGCGGCAGCGGCTGGTTGGCCTCGGAGCGCAGCGGGATGTGCCGGTAACCTGGCTGCAGCCCGTCCAGCGGCAGCACCCGCTGGCCCAGCAGCCGCCCGCCCTCCTCCATCGCCGACACGCGCAGCAGCGCCAGGTCCGGCAGCACCACCTGCGCAGCCATTGCCATCCCCACGCGTCCGACGCGCGCACTCACTCGGCGTCGCGCCAGCCCTGAGACCCCTGAGGGAAATACGTGTGTGCGGGTAACAGAATCCGAATGCTGGAGATTGTTTACTGGTGACTCCGGACGCGTCAACTGCTAAAGCCATGAGCCTCGTAAGTGAAGTGCACGTTTTTTGATCGGGGGTGGCGGTGATCTTTCCACACTGTTTAGCGAGATCCGCGGCCTACCGTCAGCTAGCAGGGTTTTCCCCAAGCAGGTATCTCCCACATGCGGGGCTCCGCCCCAGCCGGGACAAGCTCTAAGCTCCCGACCGGTCTCTCAGCATGTGTGGTGCATGTTAGTGTGTGTAAGGGATAGGACAAGGAACGGGAAAGAAAGATCGCGATAGGTCTGTGGCCCGTTTACTCCTGCATTTGCCTGGTATTGATAGGAGAAATAACATAAAACTGACGATCAGAGCAGCCGGCCCAGACAGCTACAGAATTCGCTATCTCGACAGAACTAGCTATCTGGTTAGTGGCGAAAATCCTGCCACCCTCGGGACTGGAACTCCAGGGCCTCCCGGAGCTGCTCGACTCACTTAGACAAGCATTGGTCTCTTAAACATTATATTTTTCGACCAAATAATTTGTTTAGGGAGCGCATTGTTAGGTCATGCTTAGGGGCCCTGAGTATTTTTATCCGGTCCTGCTTTAAGGTAACATATAGATTCTTTAAGAAGATTACAAATGAAACATTGTGAACTACGTTGTGATGCTAAAAGATAAATTCTGTTAGGTTGGTTTGGAAGATTTCTACAAAACACATTTGGACATGGAGGAATATCCTACGTTTTACAAACATAGTGTGTGATTGCGCTTTTTGGAAACACTCCTCTGAACAGCTGTTGAGTCGGATGAAGCATATCAAAGACGAATCAGTGATGATAATTTGGAAAATTCTTTGCGTGTGGCAACAACCTCAATCGATATCAGCGTTAATAAATTTAAGTCTGCCAAACAAAATGAGGTGTCTCACTAAAATCTATTATTTTGTTTTAGAATTTTAACCTAAATTTCTCGTATTTGTTTTATTGGACTATACTTTGTTTGCTTTAACAATAAAAAACATTGGTTGTGCTGCCCGGCAGAAAATATAATTTACAATACACATTCTAATACCGTTTACAAGCATTATTATCCTTCACTAATTATTGTTACTTGTAGTTGCTATTATTTCCTTGATTATTTGTTCTATTTTATCGTCTGCAATGTCCTGTTGTGTTAAGAACGAAAGTGGCGCGAGTAGCAGTATTACAGCGTAGTCGTACAGCTACAGTTGGCAACACCCGTCTGATGTGACGTAGATGTGTTTGCGTGTAAACGGCGGGTGAAGGGCGTTGTAAACAAAGAGCGCGCGTGGTCGTACCAGCCTGAAGAGGAAGGGCTCCTCGTTGTAGACGGGGTTGAGGCCGTTGTTGGGCACGGCGCGCGTGCGGAACTCGCGCCGGATGGTGTCGATGGGCAGCCCGTACATGTCCACCTCCACGTAGGTGGTGGCCGGCCGCTCGCACAGGAACTGCCCGGAGATCACCTGCGCGCACACAAGGGCCTTCCTTGGGCCACATTAGCCACGACTTTACGCCCCAACTGCATACGGAGCACCACAATTTGTTTACCCGAATGTACATTATTACACAAATACGTAAAAACAACTTTTATACCAAAAAATAATGAATAATGGGAAAGATTTTGCAAAAGCGCATTTAAAAATAGTTTTCCGATCAAAATTTATGCTGAAAGTTATTTGAAAATATAGAATATAGGTATATATTAATTTATGAATTTAATATCACATTTATAAATTGAAAGTTTCCACATTCCTTTTAATATTGATTTTTCTAACGTGTGCTCAATGTCTCAATATCAATGGTGGGAAGGCATGCTATGTCAACGCTTAGTGCTGGGGTTTTACAAACGTGCTGTGGGTAGTATATCAAGTGACCGTTATTCAGTCAAGCGTATGATCACTACAGTTTTTCTAATTCTCAAGTTGCCACTACTAGATAAATATCGGGGTTTAGGAAAGACGAGCGCTCCGCGCCGACGTCCTGCACAAAAGTGCAAGAGCCATTGCGTCCCCTTCCAACCCGTCATTCAAACCGCGAAACGGAATTATGCGCCGCGAAAAATGCCGATTTTGTTCCTCTAGATGACGTGTCAATAGCACTAATTTTACTGAAAGCCGATCGGTGTTTAATTTGATGTTGCTTACGGAGGCGTTCTATCTAAAAAGTATATTTCGGTAACATACCCTTAAACCTTAATTGATAATGTGCGAGAAAACCCTATTAGTAAAAAAGCGTATCTGTTTGTTATGTAAATCATTTAAGATGAATTGCAACAACGTTTCATAACTTGATTAGTTACTTCATTAGGTTACTAGAAAATAATAGAAAACAAATAGAATAATAAAAAATAATAAGAAATAAAATAATAAAAAACACTATCTTATATCCAAATGACCAAATTGTTGGTTTTATACATTATATAAAAGTTTCATGAAAGTTTAATAAAATTTTTCACTCATATACCTAAATCTAACAAGTGAAAGATTAAAATAAAAAAAGGTTAAAACATTCAGTATATATTCAAAATTCTAAGAATTAATATTTAAAATTTTAAAAATATTTTTACATTTTAAACAATTAGCCCGAAATAAGAGACACCAGAGAGTCATAAGATCGTCATAAAACAGATGATACACTTTTTTACGAATACAAATATTACCGACAATCAGAAAGTTAATTTTATCATCTGCAAGAAAATCCTAGTTTTCATCTGGCTCTAGTTTCCCAAACGTATCGGTACGATCCCGATGACGCAGGTAATGTTACAGGTTTTTCATATATGTATTGGCAAAATGAGAAGTACGCATGGCATCACAGAGCCCTGGCGCCGGTGGGCGGACCTGCACGGAGCACTGGCCAGCGATGACGCCGTCCACGGGCGCCTCCGTGAAGGGGTCGAAGTCGCGGTCGGCGCGCCGCATGATGTCCGGCTTGAGAACGTAGCCCGCGTTGCCGTTTGGCTCGAACTTGCCCTGGTTCAGCTGCATGGGCAGGTCGGGCGTCTGGAAGTTGAGCGACACCATCTGGCAGCCCCCGTTCCAGAAGATCTGACGGACACACGGAACCACGCAGTTACAATATTATGTTATTTCTTGCTATGTTATTATATAGACGAAACTTGCTCAATTAGGAAATCTGTCTAATGCGAACATAGATAGTGGTCCGGGTAATCATGAATTCTACTGTATTACATTACATAATGTAGAATCTTGTCTAATACGGAAACAAATATCGGTCCCTTGAGATTCCGTATTGCGCAAGTTTTACTGTATTAATTATTAATTTACTATATTAATAGTCGTAGTTAGTGATAGACATAGCTAAATTCACAAAAACAAGAAGAAAACTCTGAAACTCTGATAAGTTAGTTGAAACCATCAAACACGCATGTTTTTTTAGAATTATTACAGAATATCTTGGAGAGAATTGGGCCAATTGTTGTGTGTTGTGGACAGAAATGGAATGAGTTTTTGAGCAACTCTGAGGGACATAAATCACTCAAAACACGTTATAGTTTTAGTTAAAGAAACATTTAAAAATAATATTTCTTAGAATCTTCTGCACGCAAACATTATCATTTACCACCAAGAGAACGAGAGATCTCATTTGTCTGGATTGGTGAGCCAGAAGGGGTCGACAGTTGAGTAACGGACGGACGGAGATCACTACTTAAATAGTATTAAATGACAGTATTAAATATATTAATTAATTGATTAAACCTCAAAAACATATTATATAAACATATATTCCTAACGTAACATGATTTTAAGCCTTTACAAACTATTTACGCAATTCTTTGCTATCGACTCTTGATTTCACCGCAGGAGTGTTTCCAAAGCACCAAAGGTGCAGAAGAAGGCATGAAATATGGCGCGTAAAATACACACATTTGGACAAACCTGCCGCCAGAAGACGAACATGAACTCCCCCCCTTTCTTTTCGTCGTCATTGACGCAACGCGTCATTAACCCTTAATGGGAGTTGAGCGCTTTCCCTTAAGAAACACTCCGTTTCTGACTAATCACTGTATTTGTCAAGTCTCGTTACGTCGCAGTCAGCCAGTGCCTTTTTCCCTTCGACCAGAGGCTCGACACCTACAGATCCCGCGGTTCCTAGACGGGCACCCAATCACGAACCTGCGAGTCTGGAAGTTGCTTAACCTACGTGACGTCACGGAGCGTAGTGGAGCGCAGTGAACGAATTCGGCTATCGTCGCCGCCACTCTAATCTGGATGTTTGAACAAATTATTAGACATCCACGTACGATGCGTGCCTTTCCTTCCATGCTTGAAATAGCACCTGAACTTCATCAGAACTTGGAACAACTCTAGAAACTGTCAGCCTGATTGCAATGGATGTAAAAGTATCCATACCTCAACATTGTTATTCTTCTTTCCCTTTCATTGGCTGTGATCGGTAACTGAAACATGGATAAGACGATTTACTCGAGAAGTCTAACTTTTTATTTCATTTTCAGATTCGAAAAATCGAAGTACCACTTAAGGAGAGTATTAATAGTGAGTTGAAACATCATAGAATCATATCTTTATTGGTTATATATCACTGGTTACCTTGTTACCTTATTGAATCGAACAATGTAACATTAAACGTGGCCTAATTCTAGATAACAATCCAGTACTATAATACGAAAATGTCAAATTCTCCTAGTAGTTATTGAATATTTCTTCTTCAAATTTAAGCTATAGAAGCTATATGGAAGTTGGACGAAAATAAAAAATATAAAGGAATTAGAAATATCGATGATCAGCTATTGAGATTCGTCACTATTAGTTGAGAATAGTGTGCCGTTATTAGAAATATTTCTAAATTCACGAAAGTATTCTGCAAGTGAATATCAATGTAGCTGTGAATGCAGAGTACGAGTGAATTCTTTACCTGAAGATTGAAAACTGAAAATCTTCCGTCATCAGTGGAGTGTCGCCGTTTAGGAGCAGTGCACTCGGTCAGAGTACCAGGTTGTACAGAATTTCTCACCTGCGGAATGAAGTTGGAGGAGTCGACTCTCACTCCTTTAGGGTAGATGCGTGTCATCTGTCGCTTGTTGTAGTTGATGAGTTCTCTCCCGAATTTGTTCACCAGAGATTGACCGTTCGTCTCCGCGAAGGATGACATATGATAGTGCATGTCGCGCTCTGAAACAAAAAGGGGCACAATGGAGACTTACGACATAAACTACTATGACTAAACTGAATTGAATGACTTGACTATTATGTTACGATTTACGTTCGAAGACGTGTTTCGTTCAATTATTTTCATAATACCATTTTCGTATTAGGAAAAAAGCAACAACAACAACAACGTAAAAGACATATCATTTCTTGAAAAAAGAACACTAACACGCTGTTTTTAGCTACAACTCATAATTTTAATTGTTCTTAATGGCCAGCGAAGTGTTAAAATCCTTGACGGCCGTAACTATTACTAGTACGTAAGGTGAATGACGTAGGAATGGTGTACGTAAGGTGAATGGCGTAGGAAGTATTTACGGCGATGATAGGAGTCGAGAGCGGTATTTTCAAGTGACACTTACGTACGAGTTGTGTACACTACTTTTAGTACGAATTTATGAAAGGTTACAAATACTTTTGGGATCATTCCCAATATACGTGCGGGTGTCTTGCCGTCCGTGTACCGTGAACCCTTTTCAACCAATCATAGAAGAAGGTATGATGTATTTGCGTTGTTGCGGGCGCAAGGACTCACGCTGCGCGGCGGTGAATCCGGGGAACTTGACGGGCTCGACGTAGTTGACGAGCGAGGAGAGCCAGGGGTGCACCTTGGAGGTGGAGGTGACGTGCACGTAGGGCAGGGGGGCGTCGTCCTCCTCGGGGGTGGCGGCGAAGGAGCCCTTGGCGCCCGACGGCGCGCTCGTCGACGACGACGACGACGACAGCTGCAGCGACAGGGCGGTGGGCGGGCGCGCCGCGCTGCCCTCCTCCGCGCCCTCTTGCTCCTACGGCAGATTAGGCGCAGGGTTAGCCCTCCCACGCGGCTGCGTCTCGGCTGCAGCTCACAGCGTCCGCTCTCGCCTGGGGAGGCAGGGTTCAGGATGGAGCAGATAGAGACAAGGGAAGTGAATTGAAAGGCAAAAGGAAGGTGAAGGAGAAGGAGGGAGGGGAGGAGAAGATAAGAGAGTAGGGTTGGGGGATGATAATGGTAATGTCGGAGAACGAGGATATGGAGAAGAGGGGGGAACATTGCTATGAGAGGAGAAGGAAGGAGAAGGGAAGATAGTAGAGAACGAAGAGAAAAAGAGATTGAGAAAAGAACGAGAGAAAGGGAAAGACGAAATGGAGGCGGAGAAGAGAAGCCGATGCAGCTGGAAGGAAAAGAAAAGGAGATGTAGATGGAAGAGGCGGAGGAGGGGGTGATGGAAGAGGAGAAGAAAGAGGCGGAGGAGACGATGGAGGATCTGGAAGAGGAAATGGAGAAGGAGATTGGAAAAGGTAAGGGTACTGAAGAAGAGAATGAGAAAGGAGAGGAGATGGCAGAGGGGAAAACGGGGGTAGAGAGAGTAGTAGAGGGAGAGAAGAGGGAGGAAGGGAGGCGTGGGTGCAGAAACAGCGCTGGGCATCCTCCGACGCCGCGGGGCCCGCTGCGTCCAACACCACTTGTGCGGCAGTCGACTCAGAGTCAGCGCAGCTCAGAGTCGCAGCTCCTCTCCATCTTTGTAGCGAAGATTCGAGACAACCTATCGCTATTGAAGGCAATACATTGCCGCTTGAGTCATTTCAGGAAGAAAAAAGTACACCACCGTCTTCTTCCTCAATTAGATGAACAAATACTTATTATGGTATTTTGTTGAGAAACAGTTTGTTTATACATAGCGGCCTCTTCTTTAAATGCAAATGATTATGTTTAAAGTGACTTAAAGTGCTGTGCTGTGTATATTTTTAATTATTACTGAAGAAAAAATATTTATTTTGGGTATACAGATGAAAACGCAAGTTCTTCAATTCCGGTGACCATCGCGGAGCAGCGGATTGCGCCCTGCCTTCACCGCCCGCACTCGCTGTTCGCAATGGAGCAATTGGCCCTACGAGTTTCCGTCAGTGCTTCGAGCTTTGAAAATGCGCCAAATTTCGAGTAAAGTAGAGGATGCGACGAAATAGAACAATTATAAAAATGGCAAAGTTAAACAATTTAATAAATCAAAACTACTTATTTAAAATATAATGAGAAATTTAATCTATGTTTAATCAATTTTACTTACATAAGTACTCTATTTATATAAATTTAAAGTGTTCATTTATATTTTGTATTTCTTCTGTACGTTTGGTTTATTCATATGCTAAATTGTTCGCTCATTTTCAATATTGTAGAGCCACCGATGATGCTATGAAGTTCCGAAATAAGTGCAAAGTTAAATTTTCTGTTTATTAAAATTTATATTGTAATACACTACTTGTGATTGATACCTCCTGAATCAATAATCATGTAGTAATTACCACAATATTTCTGGTGCCACTACTGAATTTATAATGAAAACAACGTGTTGGTGCACTGGTGTGGTTTTTGCATCCGGCATGATTCGCCCTGTGTGATTCGCATCTAGCCCGAATCGAGCGCTGTGTGGATCTTGTACAAATCAAAAGCCGTTAAATCAATAGCTAGCATTACTTTCATAGCGACAATAGTTTCCCAACCCACGGTTTTTCCTTGATTAGCCACAAAGCTCCTACGCATGCCCATGGGGCACAGTGTGTGTGTGTGTTGAGGGGGTGAGAGGGGGTGTGGCTTACCTGCGGCCGCGGAGGCTCCTCGGGAGCGGAGGGCGTGGCCCTTGGGGCGTCGCAGGGCGGGAGGGTGACGGGAGAGGCCGGTCTCACGCCCTCGTCCCCCTCAAAAGCGCTCTTGGGCGAGTCGGAGTTGCCGAGCCCAGCGCACTCCCCTGGCACCTGCGGGAACCAAATACAGCAACAAATTGGCGCTTGCGGCTGCTGAGGGGAAGAACTATCCACAACACGGATCGAATACATTGTGAACTTAAAGAAAAATACTACTAATGAACTCAGTAACTACTGTCTACTTGTGAAATCATTTTACTGTGGTAATTACGTACATAATACAAAAGGCACGTTTCATTTAATATTAAAGGAAATCTGAATTTCTATTTCCAGAAAATATTAACTCATTATGTCTTGTTTGTTGGACGTTCTGTTGGGAATTAGAAAAGCGGTTTTGCGGCGTGAATATGAACTATTTTCTCAGCAATACAAAAACAAACAAGACAAAAGTTTGTTTAGAAATGCGCGTTTTCTAACACTCGAGAGCGAAAATGTCTACTTCTATTTTATGGATACGTATATTCATCATGCAACTATTTATGGGTGTCTCAAGAGAACGCAGGCAGGTTATACAAACGCCGCGTACAGTTTTTACTGCTCTTAGATGAAAATAAATGAAAATGAAAAACCACAAGCAGGCAAGGCGCATGAGTGAGTGAGTGAGTGTTGTGTGCATGTGATCACCTGCGGGTCGTCCTGGTCGTCGTCGTCGTCCTCGATGACGAGCTGCCCCTGGCGGAAGAGCTCGAGCTGCGCGCGCTCCTCGTCCGGCTTGAGCCGCTTGTTCTTCACCAGCACCTTGCGCCGCAGCGCCCACGGCGACGGCAGCTCCACGCCCGCCTTCAGCTGCGACGCCACTCCACTCCACACTCCGCACTGCGCACACTCCACTCCACTCCACAGCACACTCCACTCCAAGCGCACTTCACTTCAATCCACTCCGCACAGCACACTCCATTCCGTGTGAGCGAGATATTGCTCCTGCTCTATGGACCAAGCAGTGGCTGACATCATCAGCACTCTCGAGCTCAACGCATCTACTCACCCTTATACACCCTGTCCCTGCCTTGTCTAGGACTAGTTCACACCGCACAGAATATTCCAATCCAATCCACACTGCACATTCCACTCTCATCCAACCCTCATAGCACACACCATTCTAGGCCTCTCTACTTATCACATTCCACTCTAATTCACACTCCATTACATTTCACTCCACTCAACAAATTCTACACAGCACACTCCATTCCAATACATTCCACACGACACATTCCTCTCCAATCCTCTCTAAATGCACTCCTTCCATAAAGCACCTTCCAGCCCATTTGAAACAGCACATTGCAAAAAACTCCTCGCAGTACACTCCCAATTCACTTCGCTCAGCACACTCCAAGAGACTCCATAACAAACTCTAATCTACTTCACACAGCACACTCCACTCTGCACAGCACACTTCAATGCACACTCCAGTCCACTCCACGCAGCACGATTCAACCCCGCTCACAGCGCACCGTTGCACGCGGCGCTCACCGGGAATTCGGGCAAGGGTTCGCGCAGGAGCAGCGGCCCCAGGGCCTCCTCCATGAGCTGCGCCATGCGCTGCTGCTGCGGCCGCGTGCAGTGGTTCTCGATGCTCAGCACCACGGGCCACTCGCTCGCCACGAACGCCGTGTCCGCGATGGCGTACAGCACGTCGCGCAGCAGGATGTCCGAGCACACGGCGTGCCCGTGCGTCACGATGGGCTCCCCGTTGCTGCCGTCCCACGTGTCCAGCTCCACGCACCGGCAGCCGCTCAGCAGCACCTGCGCACGCGCGCGCGCGCGCACGGCCCGGCGCACTAAGTGGTTGCCTTTGATGAGGCTCGGACCTACGCTCCCAGCCCCGACGGTGGGGATTTTCGACACAAGTGCGGCAGGTCGTGTTCAGCCGTTGTCTGGAGAGGAATTGTACCGGCCGGCTGCCCTCATCGGAAATTTTTAGTGGTTTCTCCGATCAATACTATGCGGGACCAGTACCCTAACAAACGAGCCACGGACCGCGCGCGATCTTTCCTTACTTTTCTCTATTGTTTCATCTCCTGTCTCCTTACGTACACCCTCTTACACTTGAATGCACTAAACTACCACACGTTGTCGAGAGACAAGTCAGGAGCTTAGAGCCTGACCTGACAGCGGCGGTGCCCCGCCGTTATGGCGCCGATCCGCCGTTATGGCGGGAAAGGAACATCGGCACCTCCCGCGATAAAACATTTACTACACTTAACGAACTAATGGCCATAGCAGATGTGCCCGAATGATTCCGGGTACGACATCTGCTATGCAATTAATCAAAGAAGTATAGGTGTTGTGCTGAGTTATCGTTGGTATTTCTAATGAAATAATTATATGCGTCGTCATTGCCAATATTGTGGCAATATTGTTGGCAATGACGACGCATATAATTATTTCATTATTTCATAATCAAAGAAGGCACATCGAACCCCTGATGATACACTGATATTAATAACAATATTATTATTATTCTTTAATAGCAGTAGATCTCGAATAAGTCTTGATTGAGGTCGTACTTATTTAATGAGTCAAACAATGGGATCGCATAGAACGATTTCGAGATGCCCATCGCTAAAAACCAATCAGAGAGCAGTATTTGGCTCCAATGTGAAATCTGGCGTGGGTTTTAGATATGCACAAGGGATCACCCACCGACCACGCGTTGTGTTGACGCTGTACTCGGAACCTCCGCAGCTGCCACGCCCATACCGCAAACAGCAGCGCGTCCAACTACGCGAAGAGGAACTAGCACCTCCGTCAAGCTGCAACCCCCACTTGTTCGAAATTCAAAATTAACTAGCCTATAATTTACTAATTATGACTAATTTTCTACCACAATAAAAAATTATTTGATACTCAACTATAAACATAAAAAACCACATCCAAAAGGGGGGTGCTAGCTTGACGTTAAGTTAGACCCCACTTCCTCATAAATTCAAAATCAACTAGCCTAACATTATCCACTAATTATGTAACTAATTTTTCTACCACAATTAAAAATTTGTTACTCAACTATAAACAATTAAAAAACCGGGTGGCCAATGAAGCACACTTTCACGGCATATTTTCTGATTTTTTAAAACATATTTAGAGTAAAAATTTAAAGCTGAAATCAATAATGCAGATTAACATCATAGTGAAACATTTACATGTAATAATTTCAAAATTTTATCTAGTCCCGCAACTGAGATATTACAGTCTAAAATCACGAAAAATTGCGAGCGGCTCTAAACAAAAGTGTCCGCCGACTGCATCCCTACCGCAAGACATTTCAATTTAACTAGTTAATATTCTTGTAACATATATGTACTAATACTCACAACAAAATAAATAATTTCGTAACTCAACTGATAAACAATGAAAACAGTGCCAATAAAGCACTTTTCACGTGTGAATTTCCACGATTTTTTAAAACACATTTTAAGTCAAATTTCAAAGATGAAATTCATAACGCAGTTTTAACAATTTAGTGAACTTTTACTATATAAATAATTCAAAATTTTATGTAGTCCCGCAACGAGATATTACAGCTCTAAAACACACGTAAAAATTACCAAGCGTCTCTAAACAAAGTGTCCGCCACCGGCATCCCCCTTCGAAGAAATTTCAATTTAACTTGTCTATATTTCATTCATATATGTACATAGTCTATAACGAAAATAATAATTTTGTTTACTCAACTATAAACAATTAAAAAACGGGTGCCAATCGAAGCACGTTTATTGGTCATTGGCAAGTACACGTTTTGATGCAGTCAGACACCTCGAATATCTGCTAAACACCAGTGTACGAAGAATCATCTATCAATCAGGGGTTACAATACCTTTGTTATATGAAATTGTCTACTTGTTTCTTAGGCGGGAAGTGATCATTTTAGACCCCAGTAAATGCTCTTGATATTTGTGACATTTATTTTGAAATAATTATTTTTTATATATTTTTAAATTCGTGTTGACATTATTATTATTATTATTAATAATAATAATAATTGTTCATAATGCTTATTGGGTAGCCAGCTGCAGTTTCGTATCTGGGAAACGTAATATGAAAAGGAGAAAAAAGGTTATTTTGAGGAAAACATGGCGAAACGTAAGACACCCTTTCGTTAGGGCATACTTTTATAAGAACGTTCGTAGGGAGTCGCTGGGAGGGGTGGACGCGCACCTGCCTGTACATCTCGACGGAGGAGCTGCCGGCGAACTGGCGGCCGACGAGGTAGGTGTTGTGCGAGGAGTTGATGAAGTAGTGCGCGAGGGGCTGCGTCATGTCCATGTACACGTCCAGGCGGTCCAGCGCCACGGGCGTCGCCTCGTCCGACGTGAGGTAGCGGAAGAAGCCGTCGCGCGTCATCCGCCCTGCGCACGCACGCACGCACGCGTTATCAAAGGACGCCTCTAAAGGAGTTTTTCTACTCCCGTTGGTTTATCCTCTCAGTTGATGGCTGAAACCCGTTGCATAATGATACTCACGGCAATATAGTTTTCATTATGATACTGGTTCTTGAACAATCACAGAGAAGTTTAAAAAGAAAGTATTGACACTTAATTAATCATTGAGAATTGTTCTAGTAAGTGTTTCGTTCGATTGTATGCAATAAAATTGCATTTAATACTATATTATACTTGTAAGTTTTAATTTCTTTCAGTATTAGTTTTTTTGCGTGGAATTTTATTTAAAATTAATTGAATCGCAATTTCACTTTGATCCTCTTTGACTAGGGGAGCGGTAGTGGTAGAGGGAACATTTGACTGACGTTAAGATCAGAACGCATATCATTTTATGTTACGTGTTTATGTCATGTGGTTGCCAATTCTTTAGTTAAAATCTGCCAATGATTTAGTTTAAAATGACTAGTAAATCAAAGGTTGACCTGACACCTCCAGAAATAAGAGAAAAAGCAAAAATGGTGTCCTCGAAATTATTGCCACAACTTCGTTCTCTCTCGCAGGCGGACTAGTAAACCAAAGCCACCTGGGGTAAGGTAGGATAGCTGTCCGCTAAGAAGGATTGACTGAATCCGGCATGTCAACTGACACGAAACGATTTAATCTAAGAGTTGAACTTATAAATCTTACCATGCGCCGTAGAACGAGTGTCGAATGAAACTCAGCGTAATGGGAGTTAATACACTCGTGTGAAGTTTACGATACGAGTGAGGAACGAGCGAGTACCGTGGACTTCATACGCGTGTATTAATTCTCATCATTACATAATAATTTTACAATGTATTGTTGTTTTCGAATAGATCTCCGTGTGTATCAATATTCATGGCGAGCCAGAGCGGTCAGGGTGCGCCAGTTTGGGCCAGGGCGGACCAGGGTCTGCAAGAGAGGGCCAGCCATTGAGGATCAGGGAGAGGGCCTCGTCAGGCCACGCTGGACCAGGTCGTGACAGAGCGAAATGTAGCGAACTAGGGTGGACCAGAGAGAGACCCAGGCCGGGGCGGGGGTGGGGTGGGATGCTACAGGGAGGGCCTCGACGGCCCAGGGCACTGACCGTTCGCGCGGGCCGAGGCGCTGGGCTCGAGGGCGCGGATGAGGTCGGCCGTGTGCTTGGCGCTGTAGAGCGGCCGCAGGATCTCGTTGAGCCGCTGGTCGCGCTGCCGCTCGTTGAGGAAGGCGCGGAACTTCTCCGCCGACAGCCCCGCCCCCGCGCCCGCGCCCGCCGCCGCGTCGTCGCCGCAGCTGACACACACAGCACACGGACAATGCAGTGGAACAATTCTTTCAATCTCCACGCCCTATTACTATACATGATTTATTTAAATACACATTTTATTATTTATTAATTAATTTAATTAATAAAGAAGGGACGGCGAAACTTTCATAATTTACTTTGCAAATAGTTCTCAAAAGCCAGGCTTTGTCAGGTCATGCCAAAACACAAAAATGATAATACAATGAATCTTATTTTATATTTTAAAATTTACTTCCTGAACAGCATTATTCAAGGGAAGTAATTGAAACAATGAAGTAAATCTCATATATTTAATTAGAAGAAAACTGAATTTATTTTATTATTCTTTTTCAAGAGTTCTCATTTAGGCATAAACATACTTACATTTTTGTGTAGAGGTCGTCAATGTCCGGCCGTGGGCATGCAGCTCGATATAACGCTTCAAAGATCTCGAAGGTCAGGGCTTCGGGTTCAACGGATTTAACCTGCGCACAGGCCGAAGAACATTCTAGAATAATTAGCCCTAATTATTTCATTTCGTTAGACAGTCATTTGACATTTTTTCCATATATCTAAAACAATTGCATTATCAATAATTGAATATGTAATTTTCTTATTTTTGGGGCGGGGTGGGGCGGGGCGAGCACCTGCGAGCGGTCGAGGCCGGCGTCGGCCAGCGCCTGCGAGAGCGTCTCCTGGCGCTCGGAGCGCAGGCCGGCGTCGCTGGGCCGCTCGGAGCGCGCGGGCGCCTGCGCTAGCAGCTCCACCACCAACTGCAGCGGCACTTTGCCCCGCGCGTTCACCGACAGGCGCACGAACGTCCACCTGCAACGCAAGCACGCGCGCAACCTCACCAAAGACTTGCAACGGCCGGTTCTGCTCGCTCATTATTTCGTGCTTCCGGGCGCGTCAGTAGCTACGGGTATTAGCCCCGTAAGTGTAAAGCATGTTTTGCCGCGGGAGTTGGCGGTGTTCTTGCAAATTGGATGGTGAGATCTAGTGCCGACCCACACGTCGGCTTTCCTCATTCAGATTTCTCCCGCCACACCCAGGCCAACTCTAAGGTCCTGAATAGTCTCCCGATAAGGGAGGTTAGGGTAGAGCATGTACTCGTAAGTATGTGTGTGTCAGAGGTGGAGGGTATGGCAAGAACGAGGCAAGTAACATCGCGCGTGGTCCGTGGACCATTTGTTAGAGCACGGCTCCGGCATTCGCCTGATGTTCGTAGGAGAAACCACGGGAAACTACGGATGAGAGCAGCCAACCGCGAGAATTCACTTCCAGACCGGAAATGAACTCCCCCTATTTACCTACCCAAAGTAAAAATTCTACCATCGTCGGCTCTCGAACCCTGGGACCACTCGGTCATATTTTTTAAGACAGAAAAATATTATGCTGCAGGTCAGTAATTAAGCTACGAGTAAATAAAACTAGTAGACGTTCAACCTAGTTACAATTTCTGTTTTTCTAATTGTTGTTGCAATGTTAATTCATGTCTAACTTCTGTTTAACAGTTTAGTATTTTGCTCTGTCATTGATGTATAAAGACGTTCATTTGCAATTGTTTTCACTACACATTTCGATTATTATTTACACAACTGGACAAAGATCTTTCTAGAACAAAGGACAATGAATATTTCTTGTGAAAATGATGAGAAATATTTATCTCCGTCTTCAAAAGTGAGAATCATAAGGTTGCATAAGGTGCAAAAGGGGCGAGGGAACTGCCCTGCACTTTGTTGTTTTTAAACTGTTTTGAATACCAAAGTGTCAATAGGGCAAAGTGAACATTTTCCAAATATATTACGGTGACAAGTTTCATGCTTATTTTTAGGTGAATGTTCCTGTGTGAAAATATAGATTTTGTACGAGTTCTATGGACTCGTGGTACAGAACAATAGAGGGATGGCGCGTCGGTTACCGTGGACACAAGCTTTTGAGGGAGACAGGACTGAGTTCGTGAGAGCATGGTCGCCGGAATGTCTACTCTGTCCTCTGGTTAAAAACCGAAATAGTAGCGACTTCAGGATATTGAATGTTTGGAGAACATTTGGGGAAGATCATTCAGCAAGTTGATCGGTGGCTCTGAAGTAAGGAACAAGATATCCGCCGAAGCGGAGAAGATAAGTTTGCCGATTGATTCTGATTGTATAACTTCATGAACAAACGCTTTGTGTTTGAAATTAAAGTTTTATTATTTAGTTTTCCGAAAGAGAGAGGCCAATGGTCAGCGATGTTTGGTGAGTACCAATACTGTTCCAGCTAATTGAGTTGTGGGAAGTACATCATGTGTGCATACCCTGTTGCGAGAACATTGGGTCAGTACATTCGTAACAGCGAATATTTTTTCGTGCTGGTTATTGTTTCTATAGCTCTTGTTGTTCCTATCGTAGTTAGGCTTATACCATACATAAACGTTGAATCAATAAACAACTAGTACTGTATAGATGACTATGAAATTCACGTTTCAAATTTTTTGCGGTTTAACAATAGTCCTTTCTACTTTTTCTCATTCCTAATTGTATAATTAAGGGGTTTTCTGAACAATAAAAACGTGAAATCTATATTAATAATTTCGAATATGTGCATAAATTGACGGGAAACTGCGGCATTCGGCCACGTGAGAGGTATGTACGGTTTTGTTGGATAATCAGAAACATTGAAAAAACGAAAACAACTAAATAGTTTCTATTTTGACTGAAAATGCAAATATTTAGTGGTATTATTTCGCTAATTCTCACACTGAACCGAATTCTTCCACTCGGTGCGTCATTGTTTACGACACAGATGATGGCATGTAACAGAATGGCTCCAAGGAAGAGGGTCGTCCGCAATTAAATATTTGCTACTAATGTGTTGAGGTGGATATTCTTGGTATGTAAACGCTCTTGCACTGTAAATATACTATGTTATCGAAATATTCATTAACGTTTTGTGAAAATATTTATCTTATTACAGTGTTATACGAGAGTACTTTATTTGATTTTCAACAGTGTGGAAATGCCTTTTGTGTGGTTGTTCCAAAGCATTTTTGCTACTACAGGGCGCTAGGAAATATCTATTAGTACTTTTGTATCTGTGTTGAACCGGTAATTTTTTATCCATTTGTACTTACTGCTTCAGGAGATTTGTTTGCACGCTTAGGTGACCCATTTTGTGGTTGTGGGTGATTTTCCTAAGGCCCTCTAACCAAACCTGTAAAAGTTATAGTAACATATGTAAGTCTTATTAATTGCGAGTGAAATAGAAAAAAAAATGATGAAATTTATTAAGAACGTTTTCTAAATATATCATCTTTCTTCTTCCTTTTTTGACACATTGCTCGGCCTATATTAGGGCGCACGTTTTTTCGTCTTTCCGCGCACGTGCCCAAGTATACGTTGGTTCGAGCTACTGATATATCTCCATTGTTGTAAATGTATTGTACCTACATCTGATGTCCAATTTGAGAACAATTTTATTAACATTGAGCCGCTAATGTGACTTGCTTTTTGTATTAGCAGTGGTAGAAGGAGTTCTGTACTAAGAGGCGGATTAACAACTTTGTCGCCTGATCACACGCGAAATAGTGCCACCTATTTTTTCAAATAACCTAGGAAATATGTTATTCATAATAAAAAGTATAATTTGTGATTAAAAATTGGACACATATGGGACGGAAAATCAATATACTTAAATTATAAATGTATCTCCATCTGGCGGTAATTTCGCTGATTTGACAACACTTACGACAACAGAGAATATAAGTTCTAAGACTTCCAATCAAGGTAACTGGAATTGAGGTAACATGTAGACTCCTTTGCGGTAATTGGAATTAAATATTAATTGTATAACTTTTGACTAAAATATTCATACTCATTATAAATTAACTCACTTTCACTTAGCTTGTTAATAAATAAATGTGTGTATTTAATCGTTCTGTTTAAAAACCCGTTGAATAAAAATAAAAAAGAAACATTGCCCCTTGACGAACAACAGGTTGCTTGGACACAATTTTAGTTCACAATCTTGACTCCGTAGGCACACGTCTCCTGTGTTGCGGTATAAGATACCTTACACTGTGTCTGAACCTATGCCTAAATCTGCCCCTGCCTGTACTGTGTGTGTGTGTGTGCGTGTTGTTTGCAGCTTAGAAAGTTGATCATGCCACAAAATTATGACTTTTTAGAAAATCGTTCGGAAATTAGCTGCGAAAATTTTTGAAAAAAGGCTTTGGATGAAATATGTTAAAATTTTAATTCTGAGAAATATGTATTGTTGTTTCACAGATTTTTGCTTTATTTTTTTATACATTCAAGTACGTCAATAAAATATAAAAATTGGCATCTTTACTTATTTTTTCATTTGTGTTTAATTAACAAAAATTCAAACGTTTTAAAAATAGTTAGGGTTTATGCATTTGATTTGCCAAAATAATCATTAACGTCACGTAAAATATCTCTAAACATCTGTGTTCGAAGACCCAACCGATCACTAAGCGCCAGTGCTAAATGGAAAATGGTTTCAATATTTCGTTTTCTGTTATGCAATCGTTACTACAGCAAAATGTCAGGTACTAGATAGATTAATATTGAGTGAATTCCATACTTTGACGTCAATATTGAGATGCAATAGCATGCTCACGTAATATGATAATAGATTGAAGATTATCATAATTAGGACATACAATCTGAAATTAGATATTAATGTAATTAGATAGGATAATGAAGTTAGTTTCGAAAATGTGATGTCCAGTGAGAAAAATACGTTAATCTCGACTAGGCAGATAAAATTTGAAATTGTGTACGAACGTTAAGAAGAAAATAATTTAATAAGAATTTGCAGTACATGCCGACAAAATAGAACCGTTAAGGATAGCACCTAAATTGATGCCCCATTAAGTCTTGATTGTGGCATCATTTAGTGTTTGTACTTACAAAAAACAAAGTATTTTTAAGTGGGTGAACAAATTCGCGGTAGAAAGGAGCGTGTGTTCGTATAATCTTGTAGTGTAGGTGTATGAAATATTGA